AAATTCTCACGTTGTAACGGTTAAGGATAGCCGTATAAATCCTTGGGTAAAGGTTCAAGGATAGCCTTTGAAATCCTTGGGGGAACGGTAGAAGATAGCCGTTAAATCTTCGTTGTAAACGGTTCGAGATAGCCGTTGTGAAATCTCGGAGTGAATCCTATTGGCAAGGGTTGTTTGCCAAAACTAGTGCGGTGCTTTGAAGGAGTTCAAGAGGCCGAGACTTAGTGGATTCGGAAATCCTTGAGGAGGAGCCTCGAGGTACTGGAGTAGGGAGTTCCCGAACCAGTATAAAATCGGTGTGCATTTTATTTACGCTTTTATTTCTGCGTTTTATATATTGATTCCGCATTTGCCAACACCGTTTTTATCAAACTCCGAAAAGATTTTAAACGCCTTATTCACCCCCTCTAAGGCGTGGGCACAACGACTAAACCGACTAACCGAAGTTACATCTGTATGGACCTTATAATTTGCGCATCTTCTAATATTGCAAAGAGGAAACTTAAGTCCTGCACCTTCATTTTTTCATCATCCACTCGGAGCCCCTAGCATGGTAGTGACTGGGGACAGGTCGGAGATCGTGTTCTTCGACTTGGAGACAATTGTACCTACCCGACCCGGACAGGGCCACGCTATAGTGGAGTTCGGGTCCATACTAGTTTGCCCCAGGAAGCTCGTTGAGCTGGAGAGTTACTCTACTCTGGTCCGACCCGCTGATCCTTCTCTCACGTCCAAACTCTCAGTTCGCAGCAATGGAATCTGCAAAGGCGACATCGATTCTGCGCCTACCTTCGCCGAGATTGCTGACAAGGTCTACGACATTCTCGATGGTAAGCTCCCCTTTTTCCTTGTGTGTTTTCAAATGGTTCTATTTTTCAAACACCTCTCTGGATATTTGAAATTATTCCTGATGAATAATAAAGATTGAAGCTTTTTGCCTTGCTTAGTTTAAGTGTCAGTTTTTATTTCTATTCCTTGTGTTGCAGAATGGTTTTGCACCCACTTGGTTATTATAATAATCAGTAGCTGCCTTATCTTTTCCCTTTCATTTTCATCTCTTATATTTTCTTTCTTGAAGGAAAAATTGGAACTGCAGAGTACTAACTAGAGAATGCCCTTAATTTACTGCGGCATATTTTTCGACTGAATTCACAAGAGTTTGGTCAGAATGTCCCGATGCAGCCCTTACGATTTTAAATGCTCCCGGTGGGTTTGGAAAAATATAGGGACATGGTTTTTCTTACAAGAAAAACTAGCGTCACCCAAGAGTGATTTTTTGGTGTGTTTTGGATGTTTGCATTTTTAGATCTTTTGAATAATTAATCAACTATTCGATTGGAAGATTTGTGCTAGAATGCTTGATGGCGAAAGCTCTGCTGGGAGTGCTGGGTTCCCTGGGGAAGCTGTTCTCACCCATGAAGCTATAGCCCTTGGGCATGCGTTTTTTTGTAATTTTACTTTACAGACAAATAAACACGGGGTTTCTGATTTTTTGCAAGAGGGTAATGAATTGGATCTTTGGGATCTTGTAGGGTAATCTGACATGCTGAGATAAGGTGCTGTAGTGGGTCCTTACAAAATCATAGTTTTTGGAAATACTATCTGACACTAGCCTTTGGCATCTGCACCATTAAAAAAGTATTCAAAATCTAACTCTAAGTCTGTTCTTTACCCAGGGAGAATATGGGCAGGCCACAACATAATCAGGTTTGACTGTCCACGGATTTGTGAGGCTTTTGCCAGAATAACTAGGCCTGCTCCAGAACCTAAGGGAACAATAGACTCACTTTCCCTGTTGACTCAAAGGTTTGGAAGAAGAGCCGGGGACATGAAGGTATACGAATCTTGCCACAACATTGGGCTTTTTATTGCTATTTGATATAATGTAATTGGGTCCGGCTTTATATTTTTCTAACAAGTTTAGTGAATAGTACAATGACAACTACACCAACCCATTAAGGTTGTCTGCGAGGAGTCTAAGTCCATGTATTTAGACCTCACCCCAAGTCCCTACCCGGCAGAGAGGTTGTTCTTGAAAGGCTATTGGCTCAAGAAAATAAGAAAAATATTATAACATTGATGTATTAAAAGATGAACTTTAAGTGTAAAACTTACTACTAATAAAGAAATTATGAGTAAATAAGAATACACTAAAATACAATCCCTACAAAAGCACTTCTCTACAGCCAAATACCTCCTTTACCCGTGTCCCACAAGTCCACGACAACTTACTATAAAACTTTACTCTTCGTCTTCCGAACTCCCTTATTGTGGCTTGTGTCCTCCGTGAGCTGAAAAGGCAACATGTCATGTCTAATCTACTCACCCAATCTTCTTCAAGCTACTCCTACCTCTTCTCAAACTCTTCGCCACAAACCTCTCACACTTCCTCACACGAGCACCAATTCTCCTTATGTACATGTGTCTGACCACCTTAACCTCGATCCACACTAACTTATCCCCACAGAGTTATCCGCCTTGTTCTATATATCCTCATTTCTAACAATATCCTTCTTAGTATGTCCAATTGTCCATTCATCTACTTGGGCATCTTCATATCTGCTGCTCACTCTCAACTTCTGCATGTGACACCATACAACATGATAGTGCTGGTCATCAGCAACAAGTGAGGCCAACTATGGCGGTGCACGGGGCTGTGATGATGTGCGTGGCATGTCATTCATCTGATTAACCACCGAAAAAGCTGTGTAATTTTGCTGAGAAGAAAAGAGTTTCTGATGTTATACAATTGCACTCAATGTCTTTGCTTTTATTACTTATTACATGTAAAATTTGCTTGCCTTTACTATTAATAGTATTCTAGTACTTAGACTATAAGTACTAGTTGATGTGGTTTCCTGCTTCAATTTGTAGTGCACAAGGTGTCTTGTGCATATGGGGTTAGAAATGGGGAATGAAAGAAGGGGGACACGAGTCACACCACCGGACCACAACCCATTTGCTTGAATCCTAAAATCTTAGTTTCATGTTTAAGTGCTGATTTACAATCGTTCTTGCTTGCAGATGGCATCCCTTGCTACTTATTTTGGTCTTGGACGACAAACACATAGGTGAAGAGCCTTGTTCATAACATTAAGATGCATGTCAGCATTATTCATTATAAAACTCAACAATTTTATATATCATCACCGTCTAAGGTAGGGGTGTTAATGAGCCGAGCCAAGACTAAGCACACTGGGTTCGAGTTTGGCTCATTTCAGTTATGGTGATATTTGGGTTTGAGTTTGATGGTCCAGCAGTACTTAAGTCCTCAATTCAGTTATGGTGACGCTTCTGTTAGGCTAGACACTTAAGTCCTCAATGCATTCTACAAATATGTGTTTGATAATTGGGTCATGTCCGAATTCTTTGATAAGTGGTGGTTTTGTTGATAATCAGATTTTAATGTTTAAAGTGTTTTCCAAATTTTCTCATTTCTAATCTACCCCTATCATTTCTAGATGTTCTGTAGGCTTGAAATTTTATGCACTAATATGCTTGAGCTCAGCTTGAATAAATAACTAAACATTCAAACATTGAGTCCGTCTTGTTTATGATTTTGGAATTCGTTAAATCAAGCTTGATCTCAAACAGTTCGACGATTGATTGGTTTGGTAAACTAGACTGGGTCCATTTTCATTTGCCTTGTTATTTTTGAAGATCGAGTCAGGGGATTCTTTTAGGGATAGGATTCGATCTAGGTGAGGAGGGAGATATGTTAGTGCTCCAAACAGTTTGATAATTTATTGGTTCCGTAACACCCCTAGACTAGGTGTCTTGGTCCATTACATTTACCTCACATGTGTAGCTTGTTTTTTTTGTCTTTATTTCTTTTTAGTTTATGGAGTTGGGATTAAGATGTCTAGCAGTCTATGATTGATTTTTAGAAATCTAGATTCAACAGAACTTTAGTAGTACGCATGCCATGCTTATACGTGATATACAAAGCAATATGAGACCTAAAAACAATCAGGATTCAGGACCATCAATTCGTACTTCGTTATCATGGTATAAACCAACAGGGTCCATTATTTGAGATCTCCTCAGTCCTCGCTGTTAGGTGGAAGCATAATTAGTCCAAATTTCCTTGTTTATACTTTTATTGTTTCTAAATTTGGTTTATATAGAGTGTAGAATCCTCTTTGCTAGTCAAGATTTGTTAAGACTACTCATAAAAAATATTTGTTAAGAGTACACGACTGTGAGGATAAAAATTACACTTTCATTTATAAGTTAAATAAAATGGAATGAGTTTTATCAAAAGTAGGGTAGTGCGTGACCACATTGTGTTACTCCTTTTGTCCCAACACTAACTTTCCACGTGAAAATGACATGGAGTTTAAGGAAGAAGTATTCTGTTATTAAAGTTTGTGCAGAGGAAAGAGAAAGAATATGAAGTTATGAACCATATATTTATATCCTAAAAAGTTTGTCCAGAGGGGAAAGATTATTTTGAAATATCCAAAAATGGAAAGTTCATTTTGAGACGGAGGGAGTGTTTAAGTAAATGGTGTGTGTAAAGTTGCAAAGTTGCATTTTATACTCCTTTTTTTGGGCTCTAACATTATGTTTGGTTCAAGGAATTCGGAAGGAAAAAAATGGTTTTCTCTCATTATTCTCACAAAAATGGGAGAAATTTTGCTTTTCATCCACTTTTCTTTTCTTTTCCTATCTAACCAAACAAGAAAAATTGTTTTCCATCTTATTTTATTTTCTTTTCCCTTTCAAATTCCTTGAATAAAACATAGTGTAAGGTTTGACCATCCTGGATTTTTCTGTCGTTTTACTTCAGGAGTTTAGATGATGTTCGAATGAATCTTGAAGTGCTCAAGTACTGCTCGACCGTATTATTTTTGGTAAGGCCAGAACATTCATTCAAATAAGTTCTATGAAAAATGATCTTGATGAGTACAGGTTAAAGTTGCGACTTCCGTCACTTCCCAGCATCCTTATTCTCTCTCTGCTTATTTTTTTATAAGCTTCATTCATTCTTTTAATGGCTGAACATTGTTTTCTTTCAGGAATCCAGCCTCCCTGACATTTTCACAGAGAATAGTTGGATTTCTCCAAATGTTGCCACAAGAAGCCGTAGTAAATCTTCCCCCTCAACAGACCTGAAAGAAAATTCGATACATTCTGTGAAAAATAGGGCAGATGAAAATTATGATGCTCTACCATGCAGAGATGAAAGGGGAAAGGTAGAGGCTCATGAAGTTATTGAATCCAGTTCTGCCATTCCAGACCCTTTAAACATGGGCCAACTTCTTGATGAAATTGAAAGAGAATCTCTCCATTCTGAAGGTGGCATGGATAATCATGATGATGAATATTGCCCTTCTGATGAGTGTTCCACAGCAAAAAATAGTGGCCTGCCTGGGAGTCGCTCCAAGTTCTTAGAACTAAATGAAATTTCCATACCTCATCTCTCTTCAATGCTCGTCCCGTTTTATCGTGGAACGCAAAAGATAAAAGTCTTCCACGAAAAAGATGAGCTGCAAATTTGTTGCAAAAAACAGAAGGTTCGTTTTGGGATTAGTACAAAATTTCTCGATTATGCTGGTCGGCCACAGTTGAATTTTGTGGTGAATGCAACACGCGACCTATGCTTGATCCTCGATGAAATCAATAATCTTGCCCGGAGGCTATCTGTTGATTCAGGTAGTAGCTCTGAATGGAGGCCAATAGTTTCCAGAAAGCCAGGCTATGAAAAATTCCCTACTGTTCGGTTTCAGTAAGTTTTCCTCCCTTTTCTTGCAAGAAGTTAAGCATGACCTTTTGCTCTCTCTATTTTTATACTATGGAACTCTAGCCTCAGCTGGCTGATTTGTCATCATTGTGTAAACATGTCCCAGAATTCTTTTTTTGCTGGTTCAACTCTTTGAGAGTTGTTTGTTTCTTTTTACGGAAAATTTGCACTCTTCCTTAACAAACAAGGAAAATGTGGACATACATAGCCGGCATACGATAAAACAACATTCAGAATTTACGCAATCAGTAAGCCATTGTTTGGATCATATAAGAAAATGAGAGGAAAGAAAATGAAAAGAAAACTATGAAAGAAAATTTGTCTTTTGGATGAATAGAAAATGAAGAGAAAGAAAATGTTAAACTTTCTTTCCCTTGTTTAGTTAAGTAGTAAAATGGGAAAGAAAAGGTAAAATAGTAAAAATACTTTTATGCCCTTATTTTAAAATAATACGGAGTAAAATATAAGCATGCATTATCATAAAGGGCACAAGAGTCTTTTCCTTCTTTTTTCTCTCCATTGGTGGAGAATTTTTTTCAATGGAATCCACCCCTTTTTATCTCTTCTCTCCATTTTCTCTCTTCAACCAAACAAGAGAAAGCATCCTTCCCACCACCCCCCCGCCTAAAAAAAAATCTTTCCCTCCTTTTTCACTCCAACCAAACTGACCATAAATCAGTTTTTTTTAACTGCCATATACACAGATCATTTTACTGCCCAGCATTGCGCTAGTTTTTCTGATGGCTAGATTCTCTCCAAAATGCACAATTTGCAGGTTATCCGCCATAGTAAATGGAGATATTATCTGCTGGGCAACAGAGATATATCGCGAGGAAACTTGTGCTGCACAGAAGGTGGCATGTAGTAGATTCGACAATGCAGAGCTGGATGCCTTGGTGACTCCGGGATCTTTTGTGGATGTCTACTTCTCACTGGATTCATATGACTATCTGCAAAACGCTGGTATCCGCTTAGTCGCAAAGAAGTTGGTTCTGCATCAAAAGGATGGCTGATTAGCTAAGGTGACTAGAATGTCGGCTTTGGAGTTTGGACAATGTTTCATCCTCTTAGTTATCTAATGGAATAGTTAGGTTGTGACTTGTACCAAGTAGAACATCAGCATTTTAACGACATAGAGCTTGTTTTTCTTCAACTTATTCTTTTTACTTACTACTATTACTTATTCTTATTGGAATTATATTAGATTAGAACTTAGTCGAATGAGATCACAACCAATTAGATAAGTTGAAGAATATGAGCTATTTCCTGTTGAAGAAACTGGCAAATACCATCTTCATTGGCTACTTTTTTGTTGTATAAGTGTGTTGGTAGGAAGGTGTAGTTTACTACGGAGTATAATGCAGTGATCATTATTACATGTAGCCCTTACAGCGTCTATAATACTTTTTTTTGCTGAAACGACATTATATAAATGGCAAAATTTACAAAAATACTTTCAGAAATTACAGATTTTACATAACTATCCTCAATTCATTTATTTACGTTGTTACTCTCACAATTTTCTCTTATTTACGTCGTTACTCTTTGATTGCGTAGTCATCATCCATGTTACTTGGGTGTCTTTTACTAATGAGTGACAAGTTACTCTTTGATTGCGTATTCGAAAAAATAAACACGAATAAGAATATAAATATTTATTGGAAATTGAAAGAAAACAAAGACAAATGTATAAGCATTCAATTCGATATATTAACAAGTTTATTCAAATATAAATATAAAAATTTATATCCAATATACTGCTTCATAATAATTACAGAGCATAATATTTAGAATACTCTGTAATTTGTTTTTTTGAGTGTAGTACTCCGTAGTTTATACTCCTTTCGTCCTGAGTTTTTGTCCATTTTTGGCTTTTTCTAGTCAAAATTGAAAAACTTTGACCACAAATTAAGCAAAAGTGATACTCGGGTATTAGATATTGATATAAATATAATTTTATTATAAAATATTTTAAAAATATTGTTTTATATCATTAATATACAATATATATTCTATTTAATTATAGGTCAAAAGTTAAAATGATTGATGACAAAAAATGTCAAAATTAAACAAATACTCGAAGTCAAAGGTAATATAGTACATATTTAAGTTTTAGGGGGCACATTGAAAAAGTACTTAAATAATTTGAAATGAATGCCTAATATAAATTGAAATGTGGAGTAATTAATAAGAAGTCTTGATACCATAAATTCATAATCCATGAAACCTAATCACTAATTCACAACTAGAGCATTACACCTCGTTATTTCTTTTTTACTTTACAAAAAAAGAACTTTGATTAGGAGCCGTGTAGTTGAGCAACCTTCTCGTACTCCAGACGCTTCGGCTCTCAAAATTTTAAACTATACAACGTAAAAAAACTCAAAATTTATATTTTATAACAGAATACAAATACGAATCAAATATTTGAATTTAATATCGAATCAAATACGCATAACAATAATTATTCAAATAAAAAAATGAATATGAATTATAGTATCATTTTTCACATACAAATAAAATTTTATAATGTTCGACTCATTCGTTTTACGACCCTAATCATGTTGCAAGTTACAAATCTATGTTGCGATGGTAGAAATTCCTGACAAGAGTGTACCTTTATAGTGTGTTAATTTTAATTTTGAAAATTAAGAAAAATAAGAATTTATCTCAAATAGTGACACCTTTTGAGTTAGTGTAAGGTATGTGTTTGAGTTGTCATATTGAGGTCATATGATCTACACGTAATATTAGATTTTCTCACATATTTTTAATAAGTCTATACTTAGATTACTTTCTTTTTTACAAGAATAATTGGCCGGCCTAAGGGTGAGCCAAGGTGCCCTATCGGCCCAGGCTTAATACACACGCACACACCGGACAGTTGTTAGCATCGTGGGCAGTCTAACTATAACCCAAAATGAAAAGTTGGCTAGTTAGACATGAATGTTCTCCCTCTGTCTGACATAGATCTTCCCAGACATTATTTACGAGGTCAAACTTAACTCACTTTGTTTGGTTATTTTTACTACTCATTTCATAAAATAATAATCTTGTCACGTGTAGTTTTGTAGAATTTTTTATATTTTTTTACTATATAATTTTTATTTTTAAATTTAATTTTTATAATTAAATTAATTGAATTAAAAATAAAATCGATAAATCTCTTAGCCCCGCATGTGAAAATCTTTAGTGGAAGGAGGAATTAATTACTTTAGTTTAGAAAGATGGTTGTAACGTAAGTTGGGGTGAAGTGTTTGAGATTTTGAGGTGGTGTTTGGAATTTTGTTACGAATGCGAGGAATGCCAATCAAATCCAAATTTAATCTTTTTAAGTTTCCAAATTCAAATCAAGTTCCCAAGTGACCTAAAATTCGTTATTCCGTGTAATTTTTCAAAATCTGTTCTTCCTCTTACCAATTCTGTTTTCTCAAATCTGTGCTTCCCGTGTTCGAGAGCTTGAGTGCTTCCATCTTCAGTCGTCACTTTTTCGGTCTTCGTTGTCCCCACTCAAATGTAGAAGGTAATTTTTTTTCTATTTTCTAACTTAGAAATTTAGTAATTCGTCCATATTCAGTTTACGGATTATTCAATGATTTGTTTACTGATTAGTTTTATTAACTTTTTTTAATTTTTAGATTCAATTTGCAGGAAGATTTCAGAATTTAAATTGACTTGGAAGATCTTTCACATATCTAAATTCCAGGTTCTTTCAATCATTTTAAGTTTATTACTTTGTTCTTTGTCTCTTTGATTTAAAATGATTAATAGAATTATAAAGTTTAGTCAAATTTCAAAAAGGGGCTCTTGTTAACTTTGTTATAAAAGATTTACTTTCTTCCGGAAATAAGAATCAAAACTCGTGAAGCTATTGATATCAAGAGTTTTGATAATATTGATGTTGCGATCGATGTTAATGTTGATTAAGCTATTGAAATTGAGAACTTCGATAATATTGTTGAAAATATTGATGTTGATTATATCTTCTACTTTGCTATTTTTATAATAAGGCCAAAAGTTTAATTTCAAGCAGGGTCTCCGAATTCTCGGGGCCGGATTTCTTCATGGATTTTTATTTATATCAAATACATTAATACATCAGAATCCATCACTTAATAAACTCTTAAAATCTTTAAAATTGTCAATATCATTGGATTGAATAGATATTTAAAATCCTAATTGAATGCACATGAATTTTAAATGACTTTTTAAAATATTTATTGAATACCCATAG